TCATTCAAATCAATATATTTATTGTCCTTGTGTTTTAACTTTAATTCTTTATGTTACTTGTTAGATCAGAATCCATACATGTAGGTTCTAATATGTGTGTAACTTCTCTTTAATGTTGTGGGGAATTGAAGTTGGATCAAAATTTGATGTCTTTATTGCTAATTTAATAAAAATAGTTTTGGTTGCAAAAAAATAAAATAAAAAAAATCATGATTTTATTTGCAATTAACTTAAAAACATAACATCTATCTCTGTCATCAAATAGACATGTCACGTCCTCTGTAAGTTGTTGGGCACTTTTTTATGTCTTTATTTGCCATTTTTTTTTTAAAAAAAAAGGTTTTGGTTGGAAAAACAAATCATGATTTAATTTGCAATTAACTAAATATGGTTAAAATCATGAGAGAGAGAGAAAGAGAGAGAGAGAGCAATTTCTGGCTGTTCCAATAAACAGTTTCACCTGCTTAATAAGTTTTTGGCTTTATAAAACAGTTTCTGCTGCTTAGTTATTTTAGTTTTCGTTTTGTCTCGAGTATGTGTTGTGTTGGTTTTTTGGTCTAGTTTTTTCGGTTTAGGCCGTTCGCCTCAGTGAAGCCGACTGTGTGCGGGTATTATCCCTTGAAAATCGTTCCTATTCTCCCGTGGGGAACTTTATGTGTTTTTGGTGTTTGTTGTGTTTGTCTCGTCGTGAGTCGTGTCTTTGGTTTCTAACGTTGTTAGTGTCGGATTTAGACGGTCTTATGACCTGTCCTCCTAGTTTATTCACCTGTGTTTAATTCAGCTAGGAGCTGTATCTTTACACTTTTGTGCGTTTTTGTTATATAATATTTTTATCGTTTCGAATAAAAAAAAAAAAAAAAGGATGAAACAACTTCCTCCAAACCTCACTTTGTATTACTATACTAAGCAAGAAAATGCAAAAGAATTTTCAGCCACAAGTTGAAGTGTTCCAAATCCACGGGAATGAGTTCTTGGTGAAAGTATTTTGTGAGCACAAAGCGGGTGGATTTGTGAGGCTGATGGAGGCACTAAATCTTTTGGGTTTGGAAGTGACTAATGTCAATACCACCAGGCACACTTGCCTCGTCTCCACCATCTTCAAACTCGAGGTAATTAACCGGACAAATAATTTTAGTCTGTTTACTTGTCTTAACTCTTCTTTTTGGAACACTAACTTTCACCCCTCACCAATAATAGTACGTTATGTTGCAATATGTATCACTATTGGGACATTAATACCATAAAAATGATATAAATTACAACATAATGTACTGTATTGATTAAAGTAATGTCTCAAAAATAATATAAATTGCAACATAACATACTACTATCAATAGGGAAAGTTAGTGTACCAAAAAAAGATTATACAAAAGTAAACAGTCCAAATTGAAAATTTTTTCGAACGCGCACGCGCGCACACACACCATATAATTTTATAATTAATGGGAGATTCTACTGTCTCGTTACGGAATTGTTCTGTTAGGGTTTGTAACCGTTACATCAACTATCCACGACAGTTACATGACGATCTAACTGTTACAAATCCCAACGAAATGACTCCGTAACGAAATTGTAGCATTTCCCATAATTAATTCAAGTATATGCTTTTTTTATTAATTAGTAGTTTGATGTGATATAGCGAAAGAATGAGGAGATGGTGGAAGCTGATGATGTGAAGGAGTCGTTGCTGGAGCTAACTCGAAACTCGAATAACTGCAGAACGGTTTTCCACGTACCAAACAATACCAACATTGATGGCGATGCTACTGGTTATAGCCTTTATGGTCGCCAAATCACTTCTCACGGCCAC